GATGATGCTAAGTCAGCCTAACTCACACACTTGTAGGAAAGAGAAGTTTAGAAGAGCACAAGAGAGTTTGAGAGAATGCCTTTGTATTCACACTTGGTTGGATCTACTTGGGTGGTTTGGCCAAATGAAGGCCTCCCCCTTTTACTACATCTAGTAGACTATTCTAGAATATACAAGTGTTATGTACAAGCTTCTAGTGTTAAGTACAATTCTCTACAATATTCTAGGAAGTTCTAGAGTCTTCTAGGCAATTCTCCTGTAATCTTTCTTCTTGTAGCCATTCTAGAGAGTTCCAGAACCCTCTAGCATCTCTTCATACTTTCTCAAGTCTTCCAGGAGCTTCTAGAGTATTCCATTGGCCATTCTTCCTTGAGAATTCCTTTTTGTAGGCTATTTTGCCTTGGTAATTCAGCGGGGCGTGACACTTGCCTTAATTGCCCGCCAGACCTCAACCTATTCCGCTGTCAAATTTTTTTTTTCTGTAATGAAGATCTCTTCCTCCATTGGGCTGTCATTTTTTTTTTTTTTTCCAAAAATGAAGATCTCTTCCTTTATCTGCTGGTTTATTTTTACTTATCTGTTGGTTTATTTCTACTACAGTATAAATAATGTTAATGTATATATAATATATATTTTTATATATATTAAGTATTGATTTTCTAAATATATTAAGTATTGTCATAATTAAGATATTCTTTTTCATAGTTAATTTATTTTAAATAGATACTCTTTCTCGACCTATGTTAAGGCACAATTGAATTTAATACAATTCAAATCAATACATATCATTTCCCATCTCATACTACTATTCTAACACCTAGAAATGGCTAATCTACACAACACCGATGAATCTGAAGTCTGAAAACCCTAGAATTTGCCTCAGCAGTCGAGAGAGAGAGATTTGTTCGTTTGTTTCACTTTCTGTTCCAGAAAGAAAGATATAAAGCCAAATGGGTGGCTGGTATTTATACATTGGGAATCCAAGTTACGAAACGGGAACGTTTACACAATTTAAACACTTGCACGGCGTCGTATTAGTCCTCCACATAGAAAGTACAAAACAGTTTTAGAATTTCCCATCAACTACTACGATTCCGATTTTGCTTTGGCTCTGTTTTGCAATGGGTTCATCAGAATCAACCCTTTTAAGCTCAAAGGTTGTCTCTTTTCGATTCATGTTCAATTTTCTGTGTGTTTTTCAAAACAATTATTTCTTTACTTGATAAATTTGCCAATATTGTTGTTGTAAAAACTTTTGCATTTTATTTTATGTACGTCAAGGGGGCGGTTGATGAGATCACCACTGTCTCTGAGCGATTCCAAGGCGCAGATCCCATCCTAGAGAGGCTCAGATCCCTCAAAATTGTGAGTCTTTCTCTTCATCACCTCCTTCTAGGGTTTTGCATTTCTCATTGTTTTGGCTTTTTCTCAATTTTTGTTGTTTTACTTATGTGTGTGTATATATACTTGAGGTGGGTGAAAACACAATTCGTTTGCAATTTGTAGTTAAATTTTTGGATGGTTAATGATTGAATTGAGGGACAGTTTGATGAATGAGGAAAACCGTTTAGCAGTTTTAGACAGTTTGATAAATAAGAAAAATTGTTTAGCATGTGAAAATTACTGATGTAAAGCGCATTCTTGAAAGAATAAAACCATGACAGAATTTACACCAAATCAGTTGTACACTTTATATAAGAATAGATATATAGGCACTAGAGATCATGGGCACATGCAATACGTGATCATAATACAAATAGGGTTGGGAATTTGATAGATTAAAGTAGTTACATAAATTGAGAAGTTGAATGATTTCCAATGTGTGAATTTTTTGCAATTTTGCCTTGACAGGACGCACAAAAGTTTTTCAAACTGTTTTTTGTTGGATAATTTTGAAATTGAAAAAAAAAGTTATACACTTTCACTTTGTTGTTTGCACCAAGCAAACTGAATTGCTGGCTTTATAAGTTTTATATGTATACATGTATTTGTTTCTTAATGCAGGCAACTCCCATACTGACGGCATTGCCAACCGAGACTAGCTTGACAGATATGCTAGTGAGGAAACCTTCATCCTCTTCTGCTGCTTCCGGTGATATTTTCTTTCTTTTTGAAAATTTGAATAACTCTGCACATTTGATTTGGGAGTTGAAACTCAATGTTGTTTGATGGTGGAATTTGGGAATTTGGAAGTTCTTACACATTTTACAGAGAAATGTATAAAATATAACAGAACAAATCACCAGATTTAAGTAATTTTGGAGTATTATTCATACCTCCTTTGAATTAAGTCCATTTCAATCTGAGGTTTTGTTAAGTTCAATTGAGTTTTGCAAGGGTCCTTCAATGCGCTAGCACTTTTAGTTCTCAATTGCTAAGATATAGTTCTGGCTTGAGAACTACTAATTCTCTTTCAACGAACACTGTTGGAGAACTGAGAGGTCACTGCTTTTGGTCAAGAGCCAGCTTTCACTGGTGTCCTTTGGCCTCTTTTTAGCTCTTTCTGCTTCTGACCCTGCCCTTACCTTATAACTGCTTCTGGCCCTGCCGTTTTCTGTTTTCTTTTCTTATTTTCCGAAAATACAGATAAAACCTCACTTTCATCTCACATGTCTCCATGTGGTTTTTTATTTTTATTTTTAATGTGCATCGAATTAAACACATGCTTCACAACCGCTTGTATGGGCCCCCGTCAATTCCTGAGTTTCATCCTTTCAAACTTACTCCTATGTGTGAACTATTCATTCATCTTATTCATACATAAAGAGAATGGGATGGAAGTATTAGTCTGCCGCAACAGATTTACGGTGCATATTCGTATGAGATATCAACATGCACAAGTCAAACATCTGACCTGTTCTTTTTCAATAAAGCGGGGGTTTGGCATTAATTAATTTGGCCGTGCTTGTTTTTTGTGTACCCAAGATCTATTCTTGTATTTGTTTCTTTATTCACACCATTTTTTGTATTTAATGCATCTCATTTAATTACAGAAAGTGTTTGATGAGCCAATTATTGGCATTCTGCTTCCTATGGATGAAATAGGTACAGTAAATCCAAAAGTACTGCTGGAGCTCTTCTCAGTGCACCGTGATTGGCAGGAGGCAAAGGCCCAGAAGATTAGTAAGAAACATGTTTGGTTGAAAATTTAAAAAAAAAAAAAAAAATCATGTGTTTGCAACACTGCAGTGAGCATATTTATGAGTTCTATTTGGACAAGGCATGGATTACATAGATCTGCAGCTGATTCTCCTAAATCCCTCTCTGGATTTATTTTTTTGTACAATTGCATTGATCTCGATTTGAGTCATGGTTTAAAAATTGGGATCCAGATCTTCTGAGTAGCATAGAACTCTTATGCAAGCTGGACCACATTTATTATAAAAAAAGGTTCTTGAAATAATATATTAAAGTTTTTATTTAATCACAGTAGCAAGAATCCACCAATGAAAGTGTTTGCACTGGTTAATTATTTTTTGTGTTTGAAAACTTGTTGCCATTGTTACAAGAAAGATGAATTTGACTTGCTTTCCAATCCCATCCTATTCTTTTTTAAAAAATAAAAAAATTTGTATATATTTGTAATGCGTCTTAACTTAGTTATAATTGCTGCAGGAAGAAATAGAAAACAAGATAGAAGTTGCAGATGCTTTGGTGGTTAAACTTCTTCAACGTCTTAATTATTCAGTCTCGACAATGAAGGCTTCTTCACATCATCTATCAGAAGGTGACTGATGTTCTTATCTAGACTTTTCAATAACTAAGTTTCAAAAAAAAAAAAAAAAAAAAGGAAAAAAGAAAGAAAAGCACTATCCAGTCTCGGGTTGCAAATAATCAATTTGAGATGAGAAGCGGCTTACCATCCCAAATGTGTTGTGGAATTCAGTTGATAAGCAATAACTGTACAATTAAGAAAGCTTGACCCTGAAGAGTTTGGTGGTAGTCACAATGGCAAATCCAGATGAAAAGATTTGTCAAATTGAACCGTTAGTTTGCAAAAATCTGCTGATGTGTTATGAATGCTTAGTATAAATAGACTTTACTATTATTAAAATCGTTATTTAACTTTATTTCAAAAAATTGCATGCAGTTCATGCATTGAAAGTTGAACTTGGGGAGCTGAAGGGAAGGTTGACTGAGGTGATTAGTAACTGTGATGCATTATGCAGGAGAATCAACTCAGAGGGACCAGAATCACTCAGATCATCTGTCAAGCCATTTTCATCAGTGACCCCTACTGACTTAGAAACCAGCTCTAGTTTGCCTCATCTACCATTGAAGCCAAGTTAAGACTAATGTGCACACTTTTTCTTTTGGGCCAAGCTTCTCTCCGGTCTAAACTGATTCTTTAATATCATTATCACATTTGTCTTCAAAAAACTAGATGATGAGTATGATTTTGAAAATGGATGGTTCATTTTCGAATACAAATATGATGAAATCAGGTGGGAGTCAATTCCATCAACATGGGCATGTCATCAAAATGAGACCTGTGGTAAGTCCACAATTTTGAACTGCACAGAGAATTCATCTCCCTTTTTTTTTCCCTCTCCCATGTAAATTTTTCCAAGAATTGACAATCATAATTGTGAAAATTGAGATTACAGATCCTGGCTGGCTAGTGCAGTTTGTTTCTTCATGCATCTCTGACTAATTCTTCTCCACATTTCACCTTTTCAGTAAAATTTGCCCAGTTCTTATGTTAATGTGATTGTTTCACTTTCTGTTTACAAAGATTTACATTGTGTTTAGATCATGAATTTGAATAGGAATTTAAAAAGGAAAAGAGAAAGTGTAAGTAAAATGTTAATGAAATATAACTATATTTCACGTATTTTTGATCCACTCTTTCTTTTTTTAAATCTCTACCAAAATTCATGATCCAAACACTGCTTCAAGACCCACCAAGTATGACTCCAAGCCCACCGACCAAAGCTAGTGGTCACGGGATTGAAACAAGTATACTTGTTTCTCTATTCCAATGAAAAACTGAAAGAACTTTGCCGGGAGGAGGAGGGTGTCAACGAGGTGGCGGAAGAGAGGTTGGTGTAGTGGAGCTTCTTGTGATTCAGTGGCATCAGCGATTAGCTGCCAGAGATGGTGGTTGATGTGGATAGTGTGTTGTTCTCGGATGACATTGTGAATCAATCTGTTTGGTAAACTATTTTTTATTTTATTTTTAAATAACTCATTTTTTAAGAAATGTTCAAAATATTTTGAAATTATTTTCTTACAAAAATTAAAATAAAAATACAATCAAACATGTTTGTTTTTCTAAATAATTTTCTGCCTAATCATACGGTATCGCTTCATCTCAGGTTAGGCTGAACTAACTCCATGTTCTAAGGCATGGCCAAGTGATATCTCTCAAAAGTTATGATTGATGAATATGATGAAGTCTACTTCTTGTTGCTAATTGATGAGACAACACGGGAGTAATAATTTATTATTAATTTGTGTGGCATGGTTTACGTGGTGCCCTTAAGCAACTGAATAAATTTTCCTATCAATTCTTCAGTCATTCACAATGAGTATGAGAGTGGTGATCAATATTGAACTTTATCAACAAAATAAAATAAAATAAAATAAAATTTAATATTGAACCAAGACTTTAGATTTAATAGTTGTGGAACACAACTTCATAATGTGAGCTTGCAGGCTCAAACTCTACTAACATCTAACAACTAGCCCCATACTGTTTAATATTAGATATAAAATTATAAATAAAAAAAATTGAAAATTTTCGTACTACATGTGCATGAGAAACTCCAAAATTTCACTGTTTCTATTTTAATAATGTGTGACTTGAATTTTGAAATTCTAGTTTGTATTTTGAGTAACTGCAAAATTTCAGTTTCCATGCAAAAAAGTGAAATTTCAAAGTTACATAGCAGGAAATTATTTTATAGAAACTGCAAAATCTTTCAATTTTTATGGTTGGGATATGAGTTACAGTTGGGAGGCATGTCCTGATCAAGACAAAATAGCTGTGATCAAATCTAGTGTATACAACCTCCAATTATGGGTTTAGGGTTTATGGCACGTAGAATTTGACTCAGCAAGTGTATACAACCCTAATGGAGACAATATCAGTGGCAGCATGTAGAACCAATCAAAGGCCAGTTACAGGAAAAACTATTGTCGATTATCCCGGCTGATGCCCATGCAAAACCATGCTAACGCAACAATAACGCCAAAGTCCATTAAGATGTCAACAGTCCCTCGTCCATGAGAGAATAGATATTGCAGAATTTGACTCGGCAAACACCCACCCCTCTCAGAAGAACCTACTGAAATGCAGGTTCTCCCCCAATTCAAAAACACATGTTCATCAATTTCTTACATGTTACACACTATCTCCCAGTCATCCAATCCCAAAGGGAAGTCATATTTAGATGCTTCCCTAAAGCCTTATTTCACTGCTTATGGTGGTATCAATGTACAAATTCATCCAAAATCACGAAGTCACAGAGACTGAAGAGAACTTTTACACAAACACCGCTCACATTTCCACCATGCTAGTTGTCGTGGGGTTCACTATGTATAGAGACATATAGAAATAGAGATATATTCATTATACCAGGGATCAAATTGAAAATCATCAAGTAAATCCCAATCTTCCAACTCAATACAGGTAAATCACTAAATTCAGAATTCCTCAGAACAATTCAAATAATCCCAAAGCACAGAGATCAGTGGTATTAATGTCGAAGATTGCATCCCTAATCAGAAGAGAAAATCCTATTTGCAACCAGTGCTTTGAGAAAACACACACACACACACACAACATTCTTGATGGTTAAATCAACCGGTTCTCATGATGATGTGGGTGCCACTATCGGTATCCACAATGTCACTTATCTCACCAACTTTCAGTGCATATGTTGCTTCTTCAAAAGGTTTTTGCATCTGACCCTTTCCAAATGGACCTGCATGTATATTTTTATTAGTTCAATGCAAGCGGAACGATTCCACCCCTTCAAGAAAATATAAAGTAAAAATAAGAAAAAAACACGCACACACTGGAGATATAATGTGGAATACAAGTCATCTTCATGCTATAATGTGGATTTTTTTCCTTTGAAAAGTTTACATGCACAATGCAGATAATAAAAACATACAAAACAATTTAATTGTATTCTCTAAAAAAAAGAGAGAGAAAGAAAGAAAGAAAGAAATGAAGATAACTGAAGTAAAAGGGGGCGACATGGTGGGGATCCTTCACCATGATGATGCCTACCACATAATTTCAAAGTATATGTCTTTGTATGCTAGGGTTCAAGTCGCACAACAATGTTCTGTAAGATATGTATATTGATATATGCACACTATTTGAGATAGATTCTACACAAATTTTGAATATGGACACGAAGAAGCAAAAGATCAGATTGAGGACTTGACTCGCCATCAAAGTGTGCTTTATTTTTAGCTGTTTACTCTATTTCAAAAAATCACTGCTATCATATGCCAGATTACATACAACTTATAGCTGTGACAAATATTTTCAGGCAATGCGACAAATATTATCCCCCTAACAGCTGAGAAGTAAATGCAAGAAAAAATGGATTCATTTCTAACAAGACCCAAAAGAGGTAAAAAAATAAAAAAAAATTAATTAATTAATTTAAAAAAAAAAAAAAACAGCTGCATTAAATCACTATAAACGTTCATTAAATTCACAGCCTGGGCAGAGCACCAAAATACGCATCATGCCACAGGCTTGATGAGGGAATAAGAAGTTCCAGGGCCTCTGAATACAATAATCTATTTACCCTGGCAGTTCTTAAGCAAACCCATTCAGATATCATCAATATATACAAATATACACATTAGATTGAGAGTCTCAGAGGGGTACAAATATATTGATAAGTAGGTATCATCTACCATTAGAGAGAATTTAAAGATCTATTACTCTTATTCAACACTTGCAGGCACGCTTATAATTACAATTTATCCTTGAACGGATTAAAAAACCAACAAGATGGCACTTCCATGACAGTATTCTAATGCATCACCACTGTAAGACATGGAAAACCATATTATCATTCCATGGAACTCAATAAAATACAAGAACATATATAATCTACTTTTTCAATTCATAGAAAAATCGTTTTCTGGGATTCGGAAAAAGAAAATCTCCACTTAACTGAGCATATGGCAAAGTTAATTGAGACGATCAACAGACCATTTTTTTTTTTTCTTTGATATGTAGGGTATCCTGGCCCACTTGCATGCACTAGACTAAGTCACAGCAGCACGAACAAACCTTCTAAAACAGATTTATTTCCTCCAGTTCGTGGCCCCAAGAGTTTGCTGGCGAGGGGAGTCAAACCTGAGACCTTAGAGGGAGCAAACCCCCAAGTTTCTGGCTTCATCCACCAGGCCAAACCATTGGGATTGAGACGATCAACAGACTATTACTTCTTCTTCTTTTTTTTTTTTCCCCAAATTTTCCTCTTTGATGCCAAATTAGCAGGATCCACAAACTCAATGGCTCCTCCGTTTGGTTTGGTTTTCAGAATCTGTTTTCTAATTTTTAATTTTTATTTAAAAAACAAAAACTAAAACTAAAACCTAATTTGGTGAAAAAAAACGAAAAAATCACTATCATTCATATGATTTTATCTTTTTGGAGGACGGAAACAATTTTAAAAATTTGTAAAAAAAATTAATTGTATTTTTGTCAAACTAGTTTTTATTCTTTTCACCCACCCAAAAATAAATAAAAAAAACGAAAATGAAACCTGAGCAATCAAACAGAAGGTAAAGTAAATTGAATTCGAGCAAAAAAAGACATACAAACCAAATAGCAACGCAGTATCAAACAAAGATACGAAAAGCAAAATTGAATGACAAGAGAAGAACTGACCGAGATCGCCGCCGCGTTTGGCGGAGCTGCAGTCGGAGAAACGAGAGGCGACGTCATCGAACTTGGATTTGCCGGAGACGATGTCGTCGCGGAGGGATTTGAGCTGAGAGACGGCGGCGTCTCTGGTGGTGTTGGTGATGATCCGACCTTCTGGATCCTTCCAGGAAGCTTTGCGTCGGGAGCCTTGGTGCTTGATCAGTATGTGCGAAGCCCTAACTTTATCCGAGGACGATGATGACGACGACATTTTGTTCTTCTTCTTGTTCTTGTCCTTTCGATCTGCTGTCGAGATCGAACAAGACTTCTTCCTCTTTCGATCCGACTCTATCTTTGCTGGTGAAATTTAGAGAGAGCCAGAGCGAGAGCGAGCAGAGAACACTTGCGTTTGGTAGCTCTGAGCTTTATATAGGGGTACGACTGTTGGTGTACGATACTGTTCCTGTATTTATCATTTTTGCTAAGTAAAATGGAATTATTATTCTATAATAATTTTTTTAATATCTTACACCCCTCTTAGTTTTTTTAAAAAAAATTATTACAGATAAATATTTTTTGATTTTTAAATGGGGTGAGAAGGTGAGATGGAATAGGACTAAGGTTTTTATAAAGGTTAATTACATATGATACTTTGATAATAGAAATGTTTAATTGTACATTTTTATAATTCAAAAGGGATAAAATGATATTTCATGATAGTTTAAAGAGTAAATTAATATTTTATTATAATTCGTGGAGATAAAATGATACAAGGAGTGTAAGACATTTTAGTAATTA